TCTGTTCCGAAATTTTATCCGTTAAACCCCTAAATCCGCTAAATCGAAATCCGCTAAATCGAATTTCACTGTGTATAATATTAAGAATGTAATAATCAGCAATACATCCACAATTTAATCTAACATATTCCTAGCTATTTCTTGGCAATGACACTATCAATATGTCATTTCCTTTTATTTCTTTATATGCTAAAATCATAAATATTGTAAAAGGACAAAGTGAAGTTCATTACAATGAAACAAATGAAACAAATGAACCTGAGCTGATGATCATTAATATAGAAGCTATAAAAGCTCCAGAAACTATACTTAAATATGTACAACAAAAAATTTTAGATATTGGTTTTCAAGTAATTAGAAATGTCAAAAGATTAAAAAGTGAAATTTCTTACAAAATTCTCAAGAACAAGTGCAAACAAGAATGGAAGATTATTATAATGTCAATGTTTTAAGTGAATGAATTGTTTTTTTTAATTTTTTTACCAACTGTATTTTTATTATCATCATTATTATTTGCATTCATATTATTAAAAATAAAATTGATTTTTTACGTAACATGTATTGTATGATTTAATCAAAAATTCAATTTTTTATGGATATTTTGGTATTATGGATGACTCGGTATAGTGGATAAATTTCTTGGAACAAACATATCCGTTATACTGAGACTTGCTGTGTATTCCATTTTTGCAATGAACAGCAATAGCCTCAATAATTTTGTTTCTTTAGCATTAATGATTGAATCAATCATCCCCAATAAGTTTAATCTTTTAACAAATATTGTTAGCTTTTTCCACTTTTAAAGCAAAAAAGTACTAAAATAATTTATATACTTAATGTACCCTTATAAAAAGGATATAAGTATATTAAATAAATAAATAAAAAAAGGAACAAGCAAGCAAATCATGAAAAACATAATAAATGAACAACAACAAGCAAATAAATGAAATTGAAACATTTAAAAAGCAATTAGTTGATAAAGAGGAAGAACTAAAACTAAAAATTTGACATGTGACAGGTCAACCTAGTGAAGACAGTTATTCTTCTGGTCATCAATGATACAAAAGACTAAATAAAAAATGAATGGATGAAGGCAAGTTAAGAATGGCAGTAGATCCTAATGAAACTAGAGAATGAGCTAAAAATTGTAAAAGAGTTTGATTTGACAGTATCACTATTGAAGAGATGTTAGAAGGGTTTATTGATTATTCGAAAGGTTTAGCAACAAATTGTTCTAGTCATATTGCAGAGTCAAGCAGAAGAGGTTGTCAACTTTATGATCAAAGAAAAGAATTCAAAAAGAGAATTGAAGGGTTTGAGAAGTATAAGGAGCAAGTTGAAAATTTGGAAACAAAACTTACAGAAATTTTATCAGTTTGACATAAGGAACAGGAAGAAATTAATACTATTTCTTGAGAAGACCAATTTCATTACTGAGACTTGGAAGATTTAAAAGAATTATCAGGCATAACAAAGAAGGAATTAAATAAGGTTGTCTTTGAAGTCATTGAGAAATTAGAACAAAGTGCTAAAGACTTAGCTGAAGCAATAAATACAGCTGAAGCATGAAAAAATTGACAAAAAGGTCTTTTGAATGATGAAATCAAAGAAAAATTGCTAATGCTCCAAAAGTCTGATAAAATGCTTGAAGAGGAAATAACAAAGAATGCAAAATTTAAAAAGAATTAGCCCAAATGATTGGAGATTTGAGGATGAAGCAAAAGAAAAAGAAGAATTAAAAACACAACTATATTTGGAAAGAAAACCCTTACCCTCTCTTCCTAAAGAAGTAGAAAGTAGGACTTTAAATAAACAAAGCATTTTCAAGCAATTTAAAACAAAAATGAATGCCAAGGTTCAGCAGTTGCAGGAATTAATCAAAAGAGAGAAGTTTCACAGTCAAGCAATTGTCACTAAAATAGAAGTTCTAGTTAAGTAGTCATGAGAGAACTGCTTTACACAATCTTAGATTTAGAAGAATGACACAGCAGTAATTCTACTTGTGTTTTCTGCCCTGGTTTGAAAAAAGCAGTTTGTCAAATCAGAACGAGAAGCAAAGCAACTGGTGAAATGGTTGAAAGTGATAAGGCTTGTGAAAACTGTAAAGAGAAGTTTGAAAATGATAAATTGCCTAAGTGTGATTGTGGAAGGTTAAAGACTAGATATACTTGTGATTGCAAAGAAGAGGAAAATGAAAAAGAACTTCCTCTTTTACCTCATCAAAACGGAGGAATGGCACTTTTTTATGAACAGCAAATAAGTGGCTTGCAAGAAAAGGAAAGACAGTTAGAAGAGGAAGTAGATACACACTTGGAAGCCTTAGAAGTGGCTGAAGATTGGCATAAAAGACAGAAACAGGAACTATTAGATCGAATTAAGCAACTAGAAGAAGAAAACAAACAACTAAAAGAATTAACTCCACAAGAATTATTAAAAGAAATCAATGATTTAAAAGCTCAATTAACCCAATTAACAACAATAGAATGGTCAATTATTTGCACAAATTGAAATTAAAGAAACTAAGACATGACCTTGATTGAAAATAAGAAAGTAATTTTTGGTTATTGGGTGATAATACATCATCATGATGCTTCCTTTTTCCAACACTTATTATTTTTCTTCCTTCATGGTAAATTTCATAGGTAATCCTTTCTTCCTTAGATAAGCTTCCAGTGTTTGAGTATCATTTATTTTGAAAATGTGAGGAGCAATTTTTTCACCTTGCTCCTTTTTTAAAACACTTCTAATGGTGCTGTAATTCTTGAGTTCCATAGTAGACCTAATGTAAATTAATTTCATATTACTATTTTTATATAGGGGGATAGTTTTATATATCACTTAAGATAACAAATGGGATATTAATTATGATCACATTACAAATGACTAAATTTTGATCCCTGAAATTCTTGGTTATACCAATGTTCACTTTGTCTGGTTTTGTTGCAGCATGCCCCATATAACTTATTTCTCCGTAAGTTTTTTTAATTGTTTATTATAACTTGCATCAATAATAATGATAAGGTATTCAGTGACCAATTAGAACAATTCGATAACAAATAAAAAAAAACCAATTATTCGCCCGTTTTTTGGCAATGTTAATAATCAGTTGACAATTGGGAATCCCGAATTTTAACTAATAATAATAAAAATAGTGACAATCTAGAAAACCCCGATTTTTAGCAATGATAATCGATTGACAATCGGTAATCCCGAATTTTAACTAAATAGCTTTTAAAACCCCGATTTTTAGCAATGTTAATAATCGATTGACAATCGGTAATCCCGAATTTTAACTAATAAGCTTATTAACAATAGTGGAAATTCAGAAAAACCCGATTTTCATCAATTTTAAAAATTGTAAGAATCCCTAATTTATTGTTAATGATTGATCAATTTGACAAAAATCGGGAGTATTACCGATTTTTCTTTTTTTTACTTGTGTTTCTGAATGGATTCTTCCTATTTTAATAGATAGAGCCGACATTAAAATCACCATTTCAAAAATTGATGTCCACATACTTGAAGTACACACACCAATTTTAATGGCACAAAGCTTTGATTATCTTGACTGTGGGCTTATAGCAAGTGCTAAATACTTCCTATATTTATCAATTGCACATGCTCAATGTGTCAGATGTATCAACCAGAAGAAGGCAAGTGGTGTTGGATCTGGGAAAGTTAAAACCCACTTCACATTGATATTTTGTTTGGTATTTTCCCTTTATTATTAGCTTCACCAAAAAAAGCAAGAAATAATTGTGTTTTCACATCAAAAAAATAATTAGACAATAATCAAAGCAAGTTATCCTTCAATCAAGACTGGCTACTGCCTTGATGATGAATAAAAAAGTTAATTTTTTCACTTATGTTGCAGATCTTTTGTCGCATGAATTTTCCAGATGAATGGAAAGATAATTCATTCTTTATATATGTTGTGCATGAAAAAGAAACAAACTGCTATTTCAAATTTAATAAATAGGCTATTGCATTGATCAAAGAAATGTGCAAAACATATACTTGCTATCATCCACCCAAGGTTGCTTGCTGAAACCTCTTAGTGACTGTCGAAACTCTGTCGAAAATCTAATGAACAATTAGTATATATACCTTGTCAAAACTCTGTCGAAACTCTGATGAACAATTAATGTGTAACCTATAGAAACTCTGTCGATTGAGTTTCGACTACAACCTTAGTCAACAAATGATGAATAAACAGGATAAGCCAACTAAAATCTTTGGAGTCATTCCATACCTGGCACCTGAAGTATTATTAAAAAAACTACATACTGAAGAATCAGACATTTACAGTTTTGGTATGAAAATGTGAAAGTTTACTACAGGAAAGAAACCATTCTATGATAACCATATAATCATTGGCTAATATCAGATATTTTAAAAGGAGAGAGACCTCAAATCACAGATGATACTCCCGAACCTTATGTCGAATTGATGAAAAGATGTTGGGATCATGATTCAGGAAATAGACAAGCTTTAAAGAAATTAATGATTATCATGAAAAAAAAAAAAAGGTTATTGAATTACAGAAGCTAAACGACAAGAATTGTCAATTCAGAAAATATTTGTCATACAAAAGGATTATAAACATCATCCAGAATCAGTTTATACAAGTCGTCCATTAGATGAGTTAATTCAGCAATCTGGATCATTAAGTCTTATGTCAATTTAAATCGGCCGAACAGGATAGTAGTAATATCCATATTAGAGTTTCTATTCATACTAATGCTAATACTAATACTCAATCTTAATATTAATTCGAATTAATCATTCGATAAAATTTATTGTTTTATTCGTTTTATTCAAATAAAACGTTCAATTTAACTCAAATATTCAATTTATAACGAACAAAATAAATAATTCGAATAAACCTTATTCGAATAGAAACCTTAATATTAATCCATATTTCGAAATTATTTATTAGTTAGATAAGCTTTTAATACATTAATAAATAGTGAGGTGTGATATCTCTAGTGGAAATAAATTTGTTTATTAAAAAATTTTTTCTGTGCAATTAATCATTGAAAAATTATATCAATAATATATGTGTGTGTCCATCCCTAATGACGTTTTAATAGAAAATGAGGAATAAGAATTTTGTTAATTCAAAAAAACTTTATTATTATTATTATTATTATTATCATAATTATTATTATTATTATCATTAATTACTATAATTATAATTATAATACAATGAATGTTTCCAATATAATAAGTTAATAGTAAAAAAACTCCAATTTATTAATTAATTAAGATAATTATATGAGATAAATTATTTATGCAGAATTAGAACGTTGAAGTCTTGGCCTTGCTTCATCCCATGGACCATGAATTTCACTGAATATATAAAAATATTATATTATAGATTGTAGAATCGAAGGAAGATAGATTGGAAGATCGAAAGAATAATAGAAAAAAATTGATCAATCAATTAATAGTCAATAAATAAATAGTAAAACAAAACCTGTAATAAATAGTTCTTACTTTTTATATTTTTGTATCCATATCAACCAAAAAGGACAAATAAAAGTTATAAAGATTATACCTAAAATATAAATAATCACGACTGCTTTTGATATATGTAGGAATAATGTTGTTGCAAGAATAAATAATAAGAATGTTAATGTTATATTGAATTTTGCTGAAAGACTCTGATAGATAAATTAATGGAAGGAGAGAATGAGGGTAAGGTGGTAATTTATTTTTATTTAGTAATTTATTTTATTTTAAACAATAATAATTTTTGAGAGAAAGAATTTTTTTTACCTTTATATATCTTCTAAAAATTGGAAACAAAGCAAACCACTCAACTGCAAATAACATTAATCCAAATACATGAGAATTTAATGTTAATCTAGACGCTAATAGAACCGACGCAAATATTGCTGCATTTGTTGAAAGTGATCCTGGAAATCTACATAATTAATCAAATGATGATGAGTCAACAACATGAATCACAAACATTTTTCTTTTCCTTATTATAAAGGATTTCTAACAACATACTTGATATTAGTTCTATTTTCAGATCCATAATCGTGAAACATCATATTGGCAAGAAACAATATAACAGTCAATGCCCAAATCGTGTCTTCACTTGTATCTATTGTTAAAGTTTTTAAAATTGGAGATAATCCTAGCAATGTTGCAAAAAATAATATAGCTCCTTTTGCTGTCTTCCATCCTAAAGAAAAAAAAAGGAAAGGAAGAAATTGGTTTCCTTTACTCTTGGTGAAATCAAAAGAATTCCTTTCGAAAAAAAAAATCAAAAATTTTTTATTTACGCTTGTATTCATAAGAAGGATCAGTTTTTGAAATACTTTTATCCCAGAATATGTAACCAATAAACGTGAAAACGCTTCCAATAATAATCAAACTTTGTGATGATAACATCTTTAAATCAAGATATTTAAATACAGCTATAAAGATAACTATGCTACTGATATGTTGTGAAATTGCTGATGATTCCATTACCACTGTCCAATAATCATACGTTCTCACATTAACTAAGATTGCATGAGAGGAATTAAAGGCATGATTTAAAGAGATCAAAAGAGAATAGTAAATTAAAGATTGGAGATTGAAGATAAGATTAGATATAAATAGTTATTTTTAATAATAAGCATGTTAATAAAAAAAAATTTTTTCTTTAACTCACCATTTTTTTCTAATTCTTCCAAAAAAGTTTCATCGTAATAATTATCAGGATATTGTTGTTTTACCCATAATAGTTTTCTCCAAGGACGTTTGTTATTATTACTATTATTAAGACTAGTATTTTTTGACTGTGATAATGATGCTGTTATCGATGAACTCTTTATATTAAGGGATAAAAATAAGAAAATTCGTAAATCAATATAATAATACCAATATCATTAGATGTATATATGAATATTATTACAATATTAAAAGTTAATTATATATTAAATAAACGAAGCAATAATAATAACAACAATATCCAAGAAAATCTATATATATATATAATGAAAGATAGATAATCAACATTTATTTGAAAAGAGAACCTGTTGATTATTATTATTATTTTAAATAATTATTTCTTTTCAAATAGTTATTTGCCTAATAAAAAAACCAACTTCTTCTAAATATTAATGAAATTAACATCCTAAATATTTATTTATAAATTTCTTCTTTAATTATATGAATTATATGATTTAATTATATATAATTATTACCTATCAAAACCACAATAGTTACATTTTGATTCTTCTTTTATCAATCTATGACCATCAAAAGGACAAAATTTTATTTCTGACATTATCAACCCTCCTAATTTTAGAAATTGTTTAGCAAATACAAAAGGGAATGAATGTTATATCCGCCAAATGATATCCGATTAATTTGGGTGTTGAAACTTTTTTTTTTTTTTTCAATTAATCGGTGGTACAGAATATATAAAAAAAAATATGTGTATATTATCTACGTGAGAACTTTTTTTTTTATTAATACACATGTAAATAATATAAGAATTTGTATTACTTTACGGTTGCACAATTCATAATAATGATGAGTGACGATAATTTCGCCACTTCAATTACTTCTTCATCAGGCACAGTGCAATGTATTCAAAGAAGAACAATAAGTGAAGTATGTAACCATTGCACAGTGTGGATGGAAAACTAAATGCAATTATTTGCACTAGGTATTTCCAAATGCGACTCTTTAAAATCATGCAGAATTCAAATTATTTCATATGGTACATATTTGAATTAGATTCGAACCATGTCAAATCAAATCATTTTAACAAAAAATTGTGATTCGAATTGGTTCGAATTTCAGCGGATATTAGAGTAATAGTAATAGTAATAGTAATAGTAATCACCGATTATCCGGGTGTCATTATTATTTATTATTAATATAGATCTTTTTCTGGTAGATGACAGATGACTAATCAAAAATATTTTCTGGGACAGACACGTAAAAAATTTTTTTTTAGTGCATGAAATTAGTCATCTGTCAATTTTTTATTATAAATGTCATTGTATTACAAATAGACATCATCACACATTTCAAAAAATGTCTTTAATAAATTTACCATTAGAACTACAAGAAGAAATTCTGAAAAATGTACCAATAAATGATTTATATTTTAAATTACGTCTAACCTCGAAACTTTTCTACAACATGATCCCGTTATTTATACCAAACCAATTATTGATAAATCTATCAAAACATCCAAAACTTTTAAATTATAATAAAAAAGTCATGATCGAGAAAAGTAAGGATTTGTTATTGATAAAATTAGTTTCGAAAACGCCACCACATTTTGAAGCTTTCCCGTGGACTATAAAATTAGGAATTTGTAATACTGTTGATAAAGTTGTTGCAATTATCGTTAGAGTTGTTCAACATATTGAAAAAACTAGGAAATTAAAGATATCTGGAAAAGGAGGAAGAAATAAGGAAAACGGTAATGGTAATGGTAATGGTAATGGTAATGGTAATGGTAATAGTGATAACAATTCATTAATCTCTTCGTCCTCTTCATGGGTTTGGATGGAATGCTAAAAATATAATAATAAATCTACAATCTACAATGTATAAAACCGGTAAATGATAGGAAAATTATTTTATTTTTATTATAATAAAATTTTTTTCATAATTAAATTATAGCTTAAAGAAACATTAAAATAATAATTAAAAAACATATACATAAATAACATAATTGTTTCTACATTAGATATTAGTAAAATATATAAAAAACATTTATATAATAAATACTAATTGAATAATCCACTTATAACAATTATTAACCATTAGAAAAAAGATTAAAAATGTTTTAAAAATGGTTTTTTTTCTTCTCGTAATAATTATAATTATATGAGAAGAAAAGATGTAAATTGTTTGAGAGAGAAGAAAGTATTGACGAGTAAGGGATTTTTCTTGAAATCATTGTATATATAATATTTACAAAAATTATTATTTTTTGAGTATAATTTTTTTAAAAAAAATTAGTCGTGAAGTTGGTGATTTCAAAATTCAAAGGAAAGAATGAATTAGGAATGAACGGATATGTGTATATATATAAAGTGTGATTTTAAAATTAAAAAAAAGGAAGGAATTTCATTCCTCAATTAAATAGATAATACGAGGAACCTTTGGAGCCATAATGATAATAATAGTTATGTATATATGAATATATGAATAATATGTATGTACATATGTTACAAAATATATTTTAAAAGGGATGAAATAGATAATTGTGCCAAATAACTAAACATGACAAAGTAAATTATGTTGAGATTGTAACTTCCAACTTGTAATGGCTGATTATCCACAGCATTACGACTCTCTTCTCTATATAAACATCCAAAAGAAAAAATCAATATTTTTTTTTGGAAAAAATTTGTTTTTAAAAATATTTACTAATTAAAATTTCTATTGTTAACATACCCATTCTTTTCAAGTAATTGGTTTTTTAAAGCCTTTATTTCATTGTCTTGCTCAGACATCTTTGTTGTCAATTTCAGCATTAATTCTTCAACTTTGGTAAGATGTTCTAATTGTTTTTGTTGTTGCGCCATAATTGATTCAAATGATGGAATTGTTGCAAGTTTATTGTTTTGTTCTTTAATTGTTGATTCCAATGTCGTATTAATATTAAGAAGTGATTTGTTGGAAATTTGAAGATCAAGAAACTAATCAAAAATAGAAACTTTATTTATAAATATAAATATACAAATATCGTTATTATTTTCACATATACAAAAAAAAAATTATTACCTTTCTTTGAACTTTTGGGTTCAATGATAATTTCAGTAAATCTTCAATTTCAAATGGCTCTTTATTTTCACTTTCTCCTTGATTTCTTTCTTCGTTACCATCACCATTAACATCATCATAATAATCAACATCATCATAATTATCAATATTATTTAAGACTGCAGATGCTGCAACTTTTCTTTTAGGTTTATTATCATTGTAATAAGCTTGCCCTTTTAGTTTTTGTAATTTTCCATGATTATTGTAATTATTTCCTTCTTTATTGTCATCGTAATCGTCAATATTACTCATCATTAAAAAATTTTTTTGAGGTCCTGGATCACTATAATTTGTCATTTCAGTTCTTGCATCATGTGGACGGTATATAATATCAGACCATGTTTTGGATGATGATGGCAGCGTTGGTGGTGACAATGATGATGTTGATAACATCGATGATGATGATTTGGTTTTAGTCGTTGTATTAGCGTTAGTTTTAGCATTAACAATTTGTGATGGTTTGATTTTAATTCTAGGATTATTATTAGAAGAATAATTAACAATGGATCTTGCTCTAACTCTTGGTGAAGTAGAAGTAGAAATAGATGATGAAGAATCTCTCGTATTTGTAGTAATTTCAGAATGACTTTCAGGCATGTAGTAATCATTTTTATCAGCCCATTCATTCACATTGTTGTTTAATTTAGGATGATTTTTATAATAATAATTTAATTCTTCATATTGATCATTATCATCACATCTATCATCTTTAACAATCGATTTTTTGTTTAATATTTTATTTTTAATTTTATTATTCGCCCTTGTAATACCAGAATCACTTCCCCAGGACAAATCTGATCTCATACTTGAAAATTTTTTTGAATTATATTGGTGTGATTGTTGTTGATTTTGAGAGTACACTCCTAAACTACTAAAATCTGATATAATATTATTTGCTGAAACTTTTACTCGAGGTTTTTTAGGTGTTGTTAATAATGTTGTAGTATTATTGTTCGTACTGTCAATAGAGCTCGAGTCTGTGAAGCCTTCTATAGTTGTAATAGTATTTTGGAATAATAAAGTATTATTATTACTATTGTTGTTGTTATTGTTAGAAGTAGAAGTAATACTAAGGAGCAGATTATTTCGTTCAACTCTTGTAATTGATGAATCAGATGATTCAGATCTACAATTACTACTAGTAGAAGAACTTGTACCATCATCGTCGTCATCATTTTCACGATTTTCAACAGCATTTTCATCTGCTTTTACATAATTATTTACATTTGTTTGTTGGTTTGCGTGATTATTGGTAAATGGTTCTTTAATATCCATTTTTACTTTTTTTAACTATTGTGTTTAATTATATTATTTAAGTAATTGTGAAGTATAAATAGATATTTTATTTTGCATATAAAGAATTTCTTTGTATAAAATATATTGAAAAAATTTCAAAGTAACACTAAATATGGAATCTTTGATAATGCACGAATGTTTGTGCAACTTTTACGGATTATTTTTTCCCAAACTTGCTAAAATGCAAAAAATGGGGGTTTTATTATCTACTGATTAGGAAATGTGGAGATCTCGTTTCCCATATTTTTGTAATAACAATGTCGCTTATAAAAAAACTTTGTTAAACATATTCATTCAAGAAATATTCGATAATATATTTCCACATAACTTATTAATTCGTCGTTACATATATAAGTATATAAAATAGAATTCAACTCCAATTGTGACTTTTAAAAGAAAAACAAAATCGAAGAGTGAACCGTGCACACATTGTTCTGACACCAATATAGCTATTGATGACCATCAAATAGACGAATTATTTTAAATATTAATTTTAACAATAATAATGCTAATATTATTATAATGATCTCAGAAACTAATTGTAATAATAATAATTATTATAACGGTAGTATTCAAAGATAATAACAACAATAATATGACAATGAATAATAAATAGAATCATTTATATGCTTCCGGTGTTAATGACAATAATAGCGTTGTCATTGGTTTGCAATCTTATCACTTTCACCTAAAATATAATATACATACAAATAGGCATAATTGATCAATAATAATTTAATTTTTACTGTGTGCAAAGAAAACATCGTCCTTTGGCAGAATATGCCATTATGACTTTTATTTGGTGGAAATTTTATTTGATTTATAAAGATTCATGCAAAGTTGTTGGCTTACCGCAAAAAAATTAGAATATCTCTAATATTATATTAATATTAATATCATTTCCAGATCCGCATAAATTGTAATTGCGTATTTTTCCTTTTTGGCATTTTCTGTCCTGTCAATCAGAAGAGTTCTTATGTATTTATCACTGTATTAACTTTTATGCTAGAGATGAGTTGGTTTGACTCCTTTTCCCCCAAAATTAAAAGATGTGTTATTTTTCAATATATTCTAGTGAAAGATTTGCGAAGAAGGATCTATTATGGATTGAAGATTCATAACAATAGCTTAAAAGATGCCGTTAAAAACTTTGGTAAAATCAGATTTCACAGGAGTTTTATTATGGCGTAGTATTTTCTGAGAGGATGGATTTTAGGGTTGTATATTTTATTATTGTCTAAAGAATAAAGGATATTATCTATATATTCTTGAGAATAAATGCAGGGATGTTCAAGGATGCTCCTCAACCCCTCTACGAAGAGTATATTTTCAAATAATAAAGGATATAACCTTATAAATTATTAACTTTGACGATAATAATATTAATTTATTAATAATAACAAAAATCAGCCTCCCAAAAAATAAATTAATGTCCTTCAAACATATATATAGTTACCTTTGTTGTAAAATTTGAGATTATTATTATTATAAAATAATAACATTGCTGCATCCGACAATGATAAATTATCATAGGCCTTTTCACTGAACTAGCAATTTCACTTCTACAATAATGATAATAAAGTCATATGATAAAATATTATATTTATATGTATATATTGCCAACCTAATGGTTTCCATTAAGATATCAATAAAAAAAACATATATTCTAGCATCTCTGGAATTCCAAACTTTATTATAACTTCATTCCATGAGATATCGTTCCAAATGAACTGGATGATTAATATAATCATTCTCTAAAAGTTGCTCGAATTCAATATTCTCTAATGCTCTATGGAACTCTGCTATATGATTTGTGATAATAAACGAAGTAAATTTAATCCAACCAATGAGTACATTTATGAAGGTGGAAGTAATGAACTGAATAAATAATTAAATAATTATGGATTATGGATTATGGATTTCACGTTTAAATATAATATATGTAAGCATTTATGTATAATGCTAAACCTATAATCATTATAATGTGTATTAATTGAAAAATATATATATTTCTCAAATAATGGAATATCTTTACACAAACACTCCAAAAGGTTTCTATTTCTAAAATATTACCTAATAATACTAATGTTTGTTATGTAATAATAATAGTTGGCTGATAATTAACCCTAAATATTTTTCTAGAAAGCAATTTCTTTTTTCTAAACTTACGAGCTGTAAGAAGTTTGTTTAATATCTGCTAATTCTCTTTCAGGAAACAATCATGTATGACGTTTCTCCACATTTTTTTTTCTGGATTATCATTCCTTTTTAAGAAGACTGATGTTTGTTGAAAATTTGACGTTGTTTTTTAACGAAAAAGTTTTTTTTGTCATGATTTATTTTATACAGATGATTGATGATCATCAAGTTTATAATATTGCGGGCAGTGAAAAAGATTTCGTGGCTTTGAATTAAAGAAGAAAAAAATAATAAGACAATATTAATAAGAACATAGCCACAATAAAAATTTATTTAAAAGTTTTCCAATCCATTTTTTGAAAACAAATTTATTTATTTGTTAATAGAAGAAAAATGGTCGATTTAGGGATTAAGCGGCGAATTTTAAAGATGGTAGTAATATTCATAATGATGCATATATAGTTTTCCGTGTAATTAACTCACAATTATTTTCATAGAAATCTCGTATTTTTGAATCGAAATGGACTAAATTATTTATACTGACATCAACAATACAAGCAATTGTCATAATTGCTTTGGAAATTAGAGTATTTTTTCGTAATTCTAATGCTGGTGATAAAGTAGTAGAATACATGGTCAATAATACCGGATTACCACCTGAAGTTTGTACTTTGTTGCCATCAGCAATCAGAATAAACAATATTCAAGAAGAGAATGTAGTTTTTATGGTATTCCAATTATTTCAAATGTGTCTGTGTTACACTGCGGTAAAATTTTTTTTTTTAAATTTCTGATATTTGATAATTAAAGAAAATTGACATTTATTCTCTTGTCTCACAAAATAATAATGATGATGATGATGATGATAACAATAAAAGTTATACAATCAAAATACCATTCAAATTATCACGATCACAACAATTAATTTTCTTTGTTCTTTATTTGGCATTGTAAGTAGTAATTTAATCTGGAATCTTTATTTATTCTATTGATAATTGAATCAATTTAATATATTTTGCCAACAAAATAATTAATTATATATATTTATAGTCACAAATCCTTGAAGTTCGGAAATGGTACGAAGATTTGAAGGTAGCGTGTCCAGGAATATTAAGAATATTTGAATTAAGTTCCAAGAATAGAAATTATGATTTACCATTGCTTGGTAGTGAGTTGGCGTTTGCCTCTCTTATGGCTTATTTATCTTTTAAATTGTACCAAGAATTTGGTTGGAATATTTACAAAAGAATCGGTGCTGATATACAAATTCAAGGTACATCATTTATCTATTTATTTATTTTAATGGAAATCAATCATTAATTAATTACTAATAATATTTTTTCCCACACCTATCTCTCATATACACATCTCTTCCTGCCTCAACGTCTTTGTATAATTAACAATTAATTAGCAATATACAAGACATATTTAATTTATTTAATGTTATTAAAACTTGATCTATTCTTTTTATTAGGATCAGCAATAGAAGCTTGTGTTGTTTATGGTTTTAATCTTAGTAGCAATAGTAATGGTTATGGAAACATTACAAGTTATAGGTATTTTCCAAGAAGTTTATTATTGATACATATGGGAGTCACTATTCTTATTTTCTTTAATCAATTATTAGCTTATTATTCTGTAAGTATTAAACAGAGAAAATATTTAAATAGTTTTAAGCTCAATAGCTAATGATATTTTTATATTAAAGGTTTATAAAGAATGTAAATCAGGAATGATAATTGTTAATCTTGGTTGGTTGATTACTGTTTTGGATCTTATACTTATTTTAAAATATTCTATTGGAACTGTTAGTAGTAGTTGGTATTTTTTTATTGGTTTTGGTAAGTTATTTTATTAATTTGAAATAATTTATGATTAAATATTAATTCTATCAATAATCAATAGTGAGTTGTGGTATTATTACGGCATTGGTAAAAATTTTTATTATAAAAATTTTCAATTAATTTTTTTAAATATCTAAGCCAATTAATTTAAGCTTTTATTGATTCTATTAAAGGTGACTTTAATATGTTCAATAATGATTATAAGAAATTTTGAAAAAGGATTACATACTTATGGTAAATTTAATTTTCCAAATTTTTCTTTTTAATTAATTAATCAACTAATAGATTATTATTATAGTTGATAATGAAAAAGGTAATGATGAATCAAAAGAATATGAAAGATGGTCAATTGATGATGATTAATAATTTTTTTTTAATGAATATTATGTGTTTATTTTTATGTGTAAATGATATATTTTATAAATGTATAATCTATAAATCCTATTCTTATACATATTTTATGTCCAAAGAATATTTTCTAGATTTGTTTATTTTAAATCGTATATCATTTTTTTACATATTGCATAACCTAAAAAATTCATCCTTAATAAAAGGTAAGCCTCAACCCCCAAGAAATCTAACAACATATTTTTGTTATTGCTGGCACTTGTTTTTTAAGAGTTTTAAGAGATTCCTTTCAATATTGATAAAATTGAAATGTGTCAAATTAAGGATACTGTGAACATGCAATCTGAGTTTCCTATTTAATAGGTTATTTTATGTTCAACACACAGCCTACCCACTGACTTATGGTTAATTCCACTATCTTACAGCCTACCTGCCTAGATAGTTATGTTATGTTTGACACACTGTCTACCTGCTGACTTATAGTCAACATTTCTTTTATCTTACAGCCTACCCACCTGAATAAAAGATTCCTAAGTTATTTAATTAACTACATCCCAAAGGTGTCCCTTGAGATGTATCTGAATAATTAAAAAGGTTCCCAGACCAATAATCATTAGAAGGGCTGGGGGTCAATCACACTGGGTTTATTAGTTACTTACAATCAAAGACTATTGTGAGATAGTAAAATCTTGGACCTATCAATTTCCTGGTTAATATTGGCCAATTAGAACAAACTAACTACGGAAGTCATGTGTTGTGTTAAATACAGTCAGGGATATTTCCATATCGGGATTCGATTCCAGAATAGTCTGCTGATCAATTCATTATATGTTACAAACGAATTCACAAGATATGGTGCGAATCATCCATTACCACTGATTTATTTTTTTTATTTTTTAAAAAATTTCCCCATGTTGATCATCTCAAATTAATGACACTATTTTTAGTGTCACAACAGCATAATGGACACTCATTTTATCACTTTGTGACAAAATCGACTGTTGATCTTTTTTATGTTGTGAAACATGTGATT